AAAAATTAGAATGGGGACTGCTACATCTTCTACAGATGGAACATCATACTACTATTTACAGTGATGGTTATGAAGATTCATTGTGGGAATGGGAATATGTAACCTAACATTAGGTTAAAACGAAGGACACGAAATTAAATACATGTTTTATCTGCAAGCACATAAAAGATAAATATTAAAGTAATGGAAGAAATATTAACTAAGTATTAATATGGCTATATTATTTCCCAAGATTTAAAATTCTCAAGCTAGCCATTAAAATCATTAGAACACACACATACACGCACTTTATCCCTAAGCCAAATACTATCTGCCATCACTCTACCACTGAAAGGAGCATAAATTGAAATAACATATTAAAAGAGAAGGTGGCAAGCAATGCAACAAAGAAAAAACATTACAAAGTGAAACATTTCTCACTTCAGGATACTCAGCTGTGCTAAGGGTAGAGATTCAGTATCAAGGTTCAAAACCGTAGAAATCATACAGACAGGTCATCTACTAATTCTAATTATCTCTTTGTAAATTCCTTTATCAACAAAGGTGCTAGTCTTTAGATAACTGGTTTTTTACTACTAACGTACAACATTAAATACAATAAGAGCATTTATTGGTAGGTAATCCTTTAAAATATTAAATAAGGAAGTAGATAAAAGCAGTAAAGTAAAACAAAGGAAATTCCATACATAACAACAGGATTTTTATTCATATCAGATGAGTTATGTGAATTTTCTAGAAAACATAAATGCATTAACAAAGCTTTTGAAAATGTAACAATCTTTTAAAAAGACAACTTCATACTTTCTTAAACACAGTGATAGAGTTAAGTTCATTTATGACTGAGGTTATTACTATGACACACCATGTGTACACTGCTCTAAAACATTCTGATTCCCTTATAAGTCAATGATTATAGGTCTATGCCTTTATATACTGGTCTTAAAAAACTATTCTTCCATAGTTCCATCTGATTTTTAATAGCTTTTCTTCCCTTTCCCTTGAAAAAATGACAATTCAACCGTCAGTGTGCCTACTCTAATGGTCAGCCCTGTGGATTCTTATATACGAACTAAAAAAAAAATCAGATAACCAATCCTGTTGGGGTTACAAATTTTAATTCACTCCAATTAGTTACTGCATAAGGACAACAGGCTTGTTGTAGTTATTTTTAAGGCTGAATTCAAGATTCCTGCTATTGCAAATGGCTAAGATCACTAGCACTCAAAAAATGTCTGTTGCATTACTGACTACAACTTATAAATACATGGGAGTTCCAAAATAATGATGATAATAACTGAAAGTTTGAGAGCCTCCTCAAGGAGAGTTACTCAACCTGTCTCTGACAAGACAAAAACTACCTATGTAAATGAGAAAGAACAGTAAAAAAAGAAATGAAAAACAGAAAGAGGTGAGGTCAAATTCAAATAAAATAGCCAAGTCCATACTTTCACGGTTTTAGAAGTCAAGACCCAGGGCTTGAGGAAATTTACAGATAGCTTTTAAAGTATGATCACAGTGATTATCAAAGTATTAACTTCAGAAATTTACACCACAGTGCGTACAACATCTATACTAAATACTACTTTAAAAAATCAAAAAGTGTTTCAGTAAATATTTCTTGTAGTTAAATCCAAACTGAATTTTTATGAAATCAGATCGATTTTTTTTAAGAAGCACATACAAAATAGTTTCATTGACATTTCTGGACTGGTAATGTACTGTAATCTCTCTTGGCCACTGTTTGAAGAAGAGGTGAGAAATAAAATTATATTCTTGATATAATTAGATGTAACATAGGTATTATACTGTAGTTTACTAAGTTACAGGTCTATAGTAATTAGCACTGTGTCAGACCTTTAAAGAACCCAAATGAGGACAAATCAGTATTATCGCTTATTAAGTTCCTCTGATCACTGATGCTCATTAGCTCTCATAGATCACTTAGTTGACAGTAATTGAGAAAAAGGAAAATAAAATATCTAGGTTATTTAAGTTTTATTGAAGCAAATTCAAATCATGTAAGATACACTTCTCTTCTTCAGCTTTTCTCAGTATATTGTACCCAATACCTCAGACAATTTAGTGTTTGTAGAAGACAGGTAATTCCCAAGGTTCACTAACAAGAACTGTTTATAAAACAAAGTTGTAAGAATAAGGAACATGTATTATTGTGAGGATCAGACGCACACGTGAACCTCAATTGGTAATGGCTCAATTACCAAGCAAATTTTTGTAAATAGACTTGCCTTAAAGGCCATTATAGAACTGTGACCTTTGAATCTATGGTCATTTTCACAATTTCTGACTTCTAAAAATAGTAAAATGTTCTCCACAAAATGTTATTTAACAAGAGGGCTTTACCTAAGAAGGTTTCAATTAAATATCAACTACAGTTGCTGACTTTTTGACAGGAGATACCAAGCAATTTTTGAGGTGGACTGAAAACTGCCTAAAAATTTTATTTAAGAGGGTAAAAACTGCCTCAGATACTGATTCCAAATTCTGGTCTCCAACCATCATGAGCCTGCCTATTCTATGCCTCTGTCAAACTTCTACCATTCTTTTTCTCTGCAACTTCTTCAGTTCTATTTCATCATCAACCTATACTCCCATGACTGTTTTTCCACTTTCCCGCGTCACACCTCTCAACATTCACTTTTATTCCCCAACAATCCTTTTTAACTATTACAACAGAAAACCACACTGACAAAGAATAACGGACACTTTTATGTGACAGATCTGATAAATAATATTGCTGGTACGTTTGGGGTAAAAATACAAAAACATCACAAAATGCTGCTTAGCAACTTTTGAGTAAATATATTAACTACTGATACATCTACCACTCTCCAGTTGAGCTCACTAAATTGGTTAGAACTATTTGATAACTTTTTAAACTTTTGAAAATTCCTATATACATACTTGGTTTCAGCTTATAATACATACCATAAAATACAAACATGTGAGCAGAGTTGGGTAAATATAAAACAAATATTAAACATAAAAATACAAAACTCAAGTGACACCTTTCTTTAAACCGTATTTTACATGGACTGTGTACAAAGCTACTAATATATTAAATCTCTAACGCAAAATGCCATTAAGGTATTTTCACTAAACTAAACGATAACAAAATCTGTACAATTTTTTTAAGTATGCATAAGTCAAAAGGCGTTATCACTAAATAAAACTTTAATTGAATAGAAAAATTGTTACCAATTGATAGTGATCATAAAACAACAACTCTACACTTCCTCCTGTTCGTTTCCCAAAAAAAAGAATACATGGAAAATACCTGGAATAAACAGCTACCGCTAAACGCGGTTACAGAGATGTTAAGACTGAGGACGGCAACGTGGTAGAAGGAAACGGCGAACACTTTATTCTACATACTTCTCTCTGTTAAGTATAGATGCAAACACTTCTGTGGCTTAAGAAAAATTATGAATGGATTACCTAGTTATCTGATTCGTTTTTAATTAACTCCCCACTAGCACTACTTAATCCAAAGACTGCTCTAGAATATGAAAAAAAAAAGTGCTCTATCCGTTCATTTTTGATAAGACATTGGAAAGGTGGAGAAAATTAATTTTGTTAAGCTCATTAATGGAAAAATTGAACTCAAACTTTACGAAAGTTAATGAGGAATTTGCTTTTAATTAAAAGTATGACTTAAAACATTCCACTATTACCTTAAATCCCTGAACATCAAAGATGGAACCCTGTAACAGTAATCGAAATCTTATCGATAATTAAGAGTTAATAGTCACATTCAAAAAGATTAAAAACTACTTTTTTCTGACATCAGAAACTGTCAGAAACATCAGGGGCCCCTCCAAATACTGCCAAAAGTTATTGTAAATACAAAGTAAGCGTGATGGGGAAGTTACTGATTATTAAGTAAGTGATGCCCAGGAAAAATAAGTTAATGGAAGGCGCTGTGTTTTAAGCGTCTGAGAATGACCAGCGGAGAAGGTACTGCAGCAGAACAAGCTAAGAATGGTTAATAGGACTGAAATTATGTAGAAAATGGCAACAAGAGGAAAAACTGACAAGAACGTTTCAAAGTAAGGGGCACGGTATCCAATAAAGTCGTCCAGTCTGCACAAGCAGGCTCCGGACTTTCAGTGAGTGGGGCGGGAGCGGAATGATCTCTGAGCGGGGAAAGGAGCCCGGGCTGGGGGATGCACACGTTTCTGCAGGTGGCGGAGCGCCCGCAGGGGGGTTGGGGAGAAGAACCGTTTCGCCTCAATGGGGGCAATGTATTCCCTTCAGGACTACAGGAAGCCGACACAGCACGTCTCCAGGCACCAAGAGGCACTCGGTCCCGGCCCCTCCCTAACAACTTGCCTTGTAAAAAGAGTTGCAGGTCCCAGGCCCCCGGAACCCAAGGCTCCGCCGTCCAGGACAACTGCTCTGCCAACAAGCTCCCGCGAGAGTCGAGGACTCTCGCGATATAAACCCAGTAGCATCTCGCGAGTTTCCTCGAACACCAACATGGCGGTACAGAGAAAAGTATTTCGGAACCTAAGTGCTTCATTAACGGACTGGAGAAGATGAGAAAGAGCAGGAAGTTTTTTCCGCCTTATATTTCTCATCCTATTCCCCCTAGTAGAGAAGAAAACAGGCAGACAACCATAAAACCGCCGATGACCACGGTTATACTACGCCGACACAGCACCACTCAGCCTCGGCCAGCCTCCCTGCCTGTCACGTGGAAGCCGATTCTCGGCGTGCCAGTCACGTGGACCGCGGCTGAACGGGCGCGCACTCGTAGCCCTCAAGAGCCTTCCCCGCCCCCTTTCGCCAGCGCATACGTGCACGCGCACCCCCGCCCCACGTGGGGGCTTCGCCGCCACCGCCTACCGCCTACCGCCTACCGCCCACCCCCTCCCAGCGTTCGCTCCAAATCCGGGTCCCTGAGCCGATGGTGCCCGGGTTCTCTCCTCTTCCATCCACCCTCCCCCGCGTCTAGCCCCCAACACGTGCCCGAGGTTCTGTTCACCTTTCACACGGGGTGAGGCGCCACGGGCAGCTCGCGAAGGCGCCGCCGCCGTGGCCGTTCACCGCCCCCGCCACGGCACTTGCTCGGGTGGCCGCTGCAGGAAGCTCAACAGCAGCGCCGCGGCGCTTCCAGGTGGGTCCCCGCCTCCCGCTCCTGCCACTTCCCGCAGCAGCAGCGGCTCCTTCCGGTCCCCTCCTTTCTCCTCGCTGGGACGGGCGGGCGGCGGTGGTTGCAGGCGCGCTCACTACACCGCCTGCTGGTAACCGCGGCCTGTGCAGCGTCTGCATGCCGGCGGCCGCGGAGGTCCGCCCTTGCGGGTCGCCCCCACCCCTGCTACTCGGCCAGGGTTGGTCTTCTGAGGGCAAGAACCGGTCCAGCCCCTGGGCTTGTCTAACTTGGCACTACCCAGGGAGAAAAGGCGTCCCTGTACCGCGCTGTTGGGAATCCCCTTCATCCTGCCCTGTGTGGCCTGAGAGATTTGTACATCCTAGCTCCATTAGCAGTGTGGTCTCAGGCTAGGAAAGTATCTGTATGTGTGTATTGTATTTGCTCCTGCCTACGTCGTTTCCAACCGCACGGCCCTTCGCTCACCCCTTTGGCTTTCTGGCTGTTAACAGCACGCAGGCTCGATCCACGTAGACACTTTGCGCTTGCTGCTCCCTCTGATTAAAACACTTCCTCCACATTTATTTTAAGTCGCTGATGTGCAGTATTTCAGGCCCCTTCTCAAAGACCAACTGAGGCTTCCAGACTACTCTGTCCAAAAGCACACTTGCATCATTGCTGTTACCCTCTTTAACCTTATTTCTTCGTGACACTTGCCACTTCCAGATACATTTCCAGATACTACTCGTCAGTCCCCACCACCAAGAATGTGTGTGATATCTTTAAAGGCAGGGACTTTGTAACTTTTGTCATTATTATATCCCCAGACCTGTGTTTGGCACAAAGTAGTGTTTAGTAAATAGTAACACATGTCATGAACTATATTGAGCATGTAGGAAAATAAAACCCTACGCACATTGATGGAGACAGTTCCTTTGGATTGATAGTTACATTAAAAATCTCACCATTTATGAGCTTTGAAAAACTGAGCTAAATCTCCTTCCCTGTTTATAAGTTGAAAATTATATTCCAAAAATACAGAATTTGGTGGTAGAAGTCATTTTAACTGGAGTTTTTCTGTAATAGTCAAGTACTATGTCATTGCTTTTGTTTTCCTTGTCTTTGGAACTTGTGACAAGTGACAAGTGGCTATATGTGCCTCTTTTTTTCTAATAGAAATTATTAAGTGATTGAAATGGCTTATTATATTTGTTTTAGTTGAGAAAGTTCAAAGTAACATCTGCTATAAGACAAAGGGTGCCCCCCCCACACACACACACACGCGCGCGAGCAAGCTTCTATTGCACCTAATTGGTTCCAGGCCCTATACTAGAAACTATAGGCACAAAACTAAATGAGATTTCCCTACCTTGCTCTATATGCTTATACAGCCAAGTTCTATTTATAATAACCATAACAACCATGTTTTTTCAGTCCTATGTGTCAGGAATTAATGCTGTGTACTTTTTATATCTTCCTATTTTAGGCTTCCAACAATCCTTCATACTATTAGTGGTGGGCACTGAAATGCACTTCTCAGATCCCCTTCAGGGATGAATGACTTATTACACACGCAGCTGGGAGGGTTGCCCACGGACAGCCATCAGCTGTCAACCCCATTCTGACACTACCCAGTGTCACACCCCTTCCCAAGGAGGCCACACCCAATGACTGATGGATTCAGAGCCATTAACAGTATCCATCACAGGAATGTTGGAATGCCCAGCCCTTTCACCTCAACTCAGGATAATTCTGATGGATCATTCCCATCTCCAGAACAACCTGTATCAGCCAAGGTATCCCATTAAGACTGTGTTGCAGCTCAACTTCTCCCTCTGCTCAGTTCTTCCCTTCCCTCTCACAAATGATGATCCCAAGAGCATTACCTAATAAATCTGCACAGTAATCATGTAAAAGTTTGCTTTCTGGGAAACCCAACCTGTGAAACTATTTTTCTGATGACAAAATAGGCTTAAACATGTTAGGTAATTTGTCCACGTTTGAACAGAAAAAGCTTCTATATAGAGATATAAAGTAACAGGAGGGCTTAGGAAAGGCTTTTCTACAAGGGTTGGTATTGGAGTTAAACATGACTTTGCAAAGTAAAGAAAAAAGATGATTCTCAGCTGAGAAAACTGCACAGATGAGACTGTGTGGGAAGTAAGAGGGGAAGGAAGAGTAGCTCCGAGTGGCTGGACTCTGGGGTCTTTGAAGCAAGCACTAAAAAGACAAGGTGAAGTTCACTGATGGTAAAGAAGGTAGCCAAGGAGGAAAAACCTAGGCTTATGGGTAGATCTTAGCCAAGCAGAAAGGACTAAGAACCCCTCAGATCCTCAACTATCTAAGAGAGAAAGGGGAGCTTCCTTGCTTTTGGGAAAAGGAACCACTGCCCACCTCGCTGGTGAAGACCACTCCCTAATTATGATCTATCCCTCTTATGGTCCTTGTTATTTTCTTTTAGGATCACAGAATACTGAAGATGGAATAAACTTCAAGGTCATCTAATTCAGTGGTTTGTACAATATTTCCCAAAGCACTGGCATTCCTTTTACAAACACAATCTTACATCAGAATCCAATACTTAACCCAAATAAAAGATGACCTGGGAATTCACAAACACTGACATCTCCCTCAGTCTCTTACCATGGCATGTATGACACTGCCTCAAAACATGTTTAGAAAACAATTGATGTAGTTTTTTTATTCATTCTTTCAATTAACATGCCAGGATCTATACACAGTGCTGCAGATATAATAGTGAACAAAGCAAGCATAGACTCAACTCTTAACCAAGGCTGCAGTTTCAGGAGGGAGGCTGATATTCAAGTAATAAGCATACAAATACTGCACACATAAATTCAAAGTAAGTACCATGAACTGAATAAGTTAATATGCCCAAAAGTATACATGCTAAAGTTTTTAGATAGAAGGATAAAGGAGGTATTCCTGAGGAAGTAACATTTAGGCTGAGTAAGACCCAAACAAAGTATGAATACAGACTGAGGAATTAGTAAGGCAGAGTGTGGGAAAAACATTCCAGAGAAAGAGGAGTTGATGCAAAGCCCCCTGTGAGGATAGAACTTTTTGTTCACTTACACAACTACCACTGTTGCTGTGTCCAGAGATGAGCCTTTTTTTCTGCATACATTATAAATCTGATATGAAATAATGTACACTAATTTCTTTCATTAGATCATATGTTCCATGTCATCAAATATTCACATAAACCCCGAAAGATGGTTATATAATTTAACCATTTTTCTATTTGGGGACATGGAGGCTGTTTCACATTCATGCTATAAGTGACTGGTTTGATGAATGCTGTTGTGTCCAAGTATGTGTTCAGATATTTTGGGGGCTGAATCTCCAGGATTTGGGTAGCTGATAAACATTTGTTGGTAAGTTAAAAGAGAATCTAGAGTTCTGGCTTGGGTGACGGGGGAGATGGAGGTATGTCACCCATCACTATAGGAGATACTGAAGTAGGAGCAGGCTTACAGTGGGGGAAGGATGTATTCAGTTACAGTATGCTGAATTTGAAGTAACTAACTCATACAAATAAAGCTGCCCGGAGTCAGCTGACTATATGTCTGGGATGCAGGCTCCAGGTCAGAACTGAAAGTACAGATTTGTGAGTATTCGAGATACAAGTACTAACTGGAATCCTGGGCTTAGATTATCCAGGGAGAGGAAAAAGAGAGAGAAGAGCTGAAAATGAAGAACAAAATCCTGAGAAAGGGACATTGGAGGCAAGGGGAAAAAGTGACAACTATAGAGGAGACACAAGAGGCTAGAACACTAAAAATAATAATAAAATAACTGGGCTAGAGACACCACCAAAAACCAGGGAGGAAATTTGAAAAAGCCATAAACAATTTTTTAGACAAATTTGCCAGATACCATATTTTGTGCCACACACTTATGATGTTAGGCATTGGGAACAAACAAGACAAATCCTTTTGGTGCTTACTGTCAGGTGGGGAAGACACTGTTGTACACCACCACAAATGCCCATGTATTTGGTGTATTTTTAAAAATTACACCTTATTTCTGTCTTCTTTAGACATTTAGGTGGCTTACAAAAAAATTAGTACAATAGAGTGGAATAGAGTTAAAATGGAAAACTTCAGGCAACAGGAAAATAGAAGCAAGAAAAATAATGCACAAAAATACATTTCTAAGGTCCTGAACTCATTTACGCTAAAATTGGGGAGATACTGTGTGTTCAGTATGCAGTTTATACCTTTTAAAGCATTTAGTTTCACAATCCAAGGATGTAGATACTCATTTTTCAAGTGAGCAAACTGATGTCAGAGAACTTGCCACAGTCACAAAGCTAGTAAGTGGCACAGCCAGTATTCAAATATAATTGATTTAACTATAAATTGATAGCATTAATGGCCTTAATTGTTCATATGTCTCTGTAGCTATACCTTTTGCCACATGACTTTGCAGTTCCTCTCATTAAAAATATAATCCATTGTTTCTGAGTTCTGCCATGTGATTTGCTTTGGCCAATGAAACAGTAGCAGACAGGACACACACACACACACACACACAAGTTTAAAAACTTGCTTCTCTGCCATGACCAAGAGAGCATGCCTGGATTAGCCTACTAAAGGACACACGAAACTGAGCCAATATGCTCCAATCATCTCAGTAGAAGTCATCCTATTTCAACCCAACCTAAGACAAATGAGTGAGCCCAGCCAGCATCAGATCTGCCTGGCCAACCCACAACTGATTGCAGATACATGAGTGAACCCTTCTCAGATCAGCCACAGCCTGATTGGCTGAACTCCACAGGCTCGTAAAATAAAGGTTTTTATATACCAATGAGTTCTTGTGCTTGTTATATAGCATTATTGTAGCAAATGCTATATTGTGGCTCTGGAGTTCATGTGCCTAATAACTACTTACATTACTGTTCAAACTTGTTGAGGTTTAGGTGATTGACCTCTGGGTAGAAATATTTAGCAGAATTGCGGACTAGATTTGGGAGAGACATTAAGGGTAGTGAAATACACGGGAATTGTTTCTTAAAAAGTAGTAATTGAAAGCAAGTGAATGCATGAGCTCTCCAAATAAAAGAATATATCTGTACAAAGGTAAAATGACAGAGATTGTTATTCAACATCCAGAACAAGAGAGGTAGAGAGAAGATACAGTAGGCAGATATTCAAGGGAAAATGCAGCCCTATACAAAGTTTAAAGAGGGAAGTTTCAGGATATAGCTGTCAGAGAAATAATCATTGGATTTTTCTAATTGGAAATTTCCTTCTGAGAAAGGCACACGTTTTGGAAACAGACACATCTGGGTTTGAATTCTGACAGTAAATACGTTATGTACTTGGGCACATTAATAGGTATGTAAACATGTTTAGCCTAGTGCCTGACATTTGCTAAGAACTCAGCACTAGTACTGATTAGTAGTGGTTGTGTTATTAAAAGTTTTCAACAATGGCCCTCTTTCCCCCTAAAGAAAGTTCCTTACCTAACCTCTTCACCTTGAAATCCTTCAAAATGGTAACAAGTATATTCAAACTGATAACCTCCCTTTGAGAGCTGAGGGAGTAGCTTCAAAACTCAAGGAAATTTCTGATATAATAAACCACATATAATATTCCAAATTTTGTTATGAATATAGTAATACTATTATTAATGAATGTGACAATACTATAATCTTTTTCAAAAGAATCATTGTGAGATAATATAGGGAGTGAGAGCCCTGGTATGAAGTTACATTGACTTCCGCTGGAGTATCCCTTATCTACCACTTCTCTGCTGCATGACTTTGTGTAAGGAACTTGGCCTAAGTTACCTGGGTTGTAAAGAGGATTAAATTGAAGTTAAGCACTTTAGCAGAGTGCCTGAAACATCATAAATATTTAACAACTGGCAAGCTTTACCACAAATTTTTTTTATTAATGTAATGCTTGGTATTTAGGAAATAAATTCTGGTGATTTGCAGTTAGATCAGCACATTATTCAATTGTTGAAGAGGATCCCGGTATAATTATGAGGAAGAAAAACTAAAAACTAGATTTATTTTTTTAATTCAAATAGATCTTAATGGCTAATAAATAAGCTGATTTCATTAAGCAAAACTTAAAATACTACACCAAATGACTTATTTTGCATACCTGTGATCAAAAAATGACAGGATTTAATATTAGCAAACTTTATACCCTTCACCCTTAATACCTATCAAATAAATTCAATATCCAAGTTACACACTTTTAAATCACTTTTATTGAACTAATTTTAACAACACTGTTTTAGCTAGTGGCACCTGCCCCAACCAAAACAAAAGCCATCGTGAATGCTATTCAGCATCCTCAAAGTAATCCAGTTTGTTTTTGTACTTGGAATATAGTTAAACATTTGACATCACATAATCAAGCAAATCAGTGCATACTATATTATTCAAAAAGACTTTATGCATTTCATTAAAAAATCATTTTGCAAGTGGCTTTATCAACAATCTCACTGACACATTCCATACTTCATGCTCTCAAAAAAGTGCCCTAAAACTAACTCTAAATTTTTTAAATATTAATGAATAGTATCTAGGGTTATAGGAATTCAAGTTCAACTTTTTTACAGTATAAGAGGCAATAAGTTACTGTTATCTGCTGACACAAATTCTACTCAAACTACCTTGAAACATTCAAAAAGACATTTTGTAAATACTAATATGCTAGCTTATATGCTATAGTGCAAAAGAAGTGATACCCTAAAGTTTCCTGAGCTTTAGGAAATTAACATTTTTCTGACTACACTCAATTTAAAATAGGCTCTTTATAGTATGAAGCCATGTCAGAACTATACAAATAAATTAGATTTTTGGAGAACTGAAAAGATTGGTCAGAGTTACAGTGTTTCAGGGTAATGAAACAGTTTTCAAAGCAAAAGTATTTACAAAACTGCAAAGGATACTATGGATCTGCATGTAGTATAAAGATCAAAAGAAAACCTAGTTACCAAATGATCACAATTACTCCTCATCTTTCAAAAATATTACACTAAAAGACTTTATGGTAAGTTATCTAGCATCATATATACCAACCTGTAGTATATTACACATTTTAACACATTCTTCCATAATGCCCAGTAAGAAGGAATAAGATAAAATATTAAAAATCAAGAAAATAAACATGCTTTTAGGAATGTTTTTGCATGTGTATATGTGAGGGGAAGTGAAAATGATTTCTCATCAGAACTCTATATCCTAAAAATTACAAAGACCGAGTTTCTACTTCAATTTTTTCTTCTGCTTGTAGTACATCATTGTCAACCTGAACAACAGGAGGTCGTAAGATAACTTCAGGGCCTCCACCATATATAGACTGTAGAAAATTCCATGTTTCTTCAGAAATCTGACCAGAATCTGCTCCTAAAATTAAGTGTATATACAAAGAATACTTACAAATGTACATATTCATATTGCAAAGACTTCCATAAAGTAACCCCCAACATGAATTCTATAGGCTAATTGAGTATTTTTGGAACACAAATCTTCAGATGACCAGCCCATATTGTTATAAGATGCAAACTTTATGGTCTGTCTTAAAAAGTTAAGAGATCTTTTTTCTTAGCTCCTAAGGAGCCTTAAAACCTCTCCTCAGATAAAAATTGAACACTGGAAGCTTTTCCACTATTTGTCCTAGTTCATGTACATCATTGAGCTGTATAAAAAAGTGGCATAGATGACTAGTGATGAAAGATTCTTAACAGTGACAAATCACGAACAAGTACAGGCTTAAATATTAGTCAAACTTACCTTGCCGGAGCATCATGTTGCCACATTTAGTGACTGCAATTTTAGTGTTATCAATAGGACCTGGAGGATCTAAGTCAAAAGGGAAAACAAATGATTAAAATACATACTTTTCAAAGATATATACCAAAGAATTGCATTATTTCTGTGCCTGAAATAATTGAAGGATATAACTATAAAATCAAGTTGATTAAACAGCAGCAGACTCACAGAACCCAAGAATGGACTAACAGTTTCAGTTACCAAAGGGGAAGGGATTGGGGAGGATGGGTGGGAAGGGAAGGGTACGGGAAGAAAAAAAAGAAAGGGGGCCTTACGATTAGAATGTGTAATGTGGGGGGGCACAGGGAGGGCTGTGCAACACAGAGAAGACAAGTAGTGATTCTACAGCATCTTACTACACTGATGGACAGTGACTGTAATGGGGTTTGTGT